TGAATTTGATACATGAACAAGACTTGTCCCCAAAACACTAGACAATTTTTCTTGAAATCCCAGCTATTGTATTTTAATTAAAAAAATCTGCTTCGTTGAATGTTACTACTATGTGGCCTTTGTAAATCCGAATAAAATGTGTCATATTTCTTGAAACGTAGTCATTTTTCAAAATATTGTTCACATATAAAAGAATAACGACCGACAGAATTCCATTTTTAGTACAAAAAGAGAGTTTTAGATATCCGTGTTTCTGAGTTTCTGATGTGGTACACTGGTACCTAACTACCTATGTTATACAAACTACTAAATATATTTTATTTGACCAAAATTCCTTCCAATAGTTAATCTCGTATGACAGTATTAATCACAATGATTCAACCAGACCTAACGGTGATAGATGTTATATATACAAGTGTGCATTAGTGTCTTAGCCTAGTACATAATAATTGTGACCTCCACATGGACCACATGACCATTGTAGGTTCTGATCCATGGTCATAGTTCAAACTTTCTAACAGCTTTACCAGTTGAGCTACCTGTATAGATAAACATCTATAGATTAAGAGCATGTTTGACAGACATAAATCCCCGCCTTATAGCTTTTGTACTGTTTAAAAAGTCTCTAAAAATTTCTAGTTGTATGTGGGCATGACAACTTTTAAGAGCTTTTCAAAATTTAAAAGATTTTTTTTGAGATGCTACAGAAAGTAGCATCTGAGAAATGCACGTGACTTTTAGTATTAATTCGTCCTAACAATTTGTATACCAAACAAAACTAAATCAAACAGTTAGCTTTTTACCAAACAGCTACCACATTTTCCTTTTAAGATCTTTTCAGTCACCAAAAGCTAACAGTTACTAAAAAGTTCACAAAATCATCTTTTCGGCTAGTTGTGCCAAACATACCCTTATTTGCTATAAACTTTGATTTCGTACACACATGGAGTTATCTATCATGGGATCATATTAGTTGGCCAAATTATAAGCATAACCAAATAATTGCAAAATAATGTTATGCGTTTATGTTTAGGCAAAAATACCATGAGTTTTTATTTAGATAAAAAAGATCAATTATATATATTTGAATATAAATACAAAAATATAACTGAAAGTTACTGCTATACTATGTTAGAATCACTTAAATTTAAAAATTGAACAAATATTATGTACTACGCTTTCAAAAAAAATGATGTTATGTACTATTGTGATCACTAATAACATTTTTATAAATCAACTTTATTTTTTTCATAAATACGTTCATAGCTATAAAATTCTTCCTCTTAAATCCCCACCGTCCCCCAATATGAAACTTGTTTTCAGGATAATAATCGTATCGTGCATTCGTGCTCAATAACACTACTCCGTAATTCCGTATATCATAAATTTCAACGCGTTATTTTGTTGTGCCTTTAATTTGAAGAATTAGCAAATGAGCCATTGAATTGGTTCAATCTAAATGGGGAAAAGATCTCCTCATTCACTTGCTTCGGCCTTCCGCCCAAACATATTACTGTGTATGAGCATTGGTCACCTCAGGAATAAAGAACTCCACATTCAATAGATCGATTTGTCGTAAATCAAAGTTGGTCACCTCAGAAAATTGTCTGTCAACGGAAAATCTGAACACACAACTCAAGATCTACAAGAAATCTCAGAAGAATAAAATACGACACAGCATGAGGACCAAATCACAGTCCAAAGATTTTCCTTGGGTTTAGTTTTTATCTTTTATGTTTTTTTTTTCCTTTTCCTTTCTTTTGTGCTCATTTTTCTTTCACCTATCTTCTTGCACTGTAATTTTTACTATATTTATTGAAAAAAATGTTTTTCTTGAAAAAAATTTTCCTTTAGGGAAAAAAAATTGTATGAGCATTGGTACACAAACTACACATCGTGCAACATAAACCCCACTCTAAAATAAGGGATATTAATACACTATACGTCTCAAATAGGATCAAAATTTGTTCACTTTTCAAAATAGGATTTAGTAATATAAAATAGCGTAAATAAGTTTCTTTATTTGTGATTGAACAAAAATATCGATTGGGACAGTGTTGCTAGGCCAAACTAGATTGCCTGCCACAACCGGAAAATTTTCTACATGACGCAATTGATGATCTGCTGCTAGGCCGCCGCCATTGAAGTTCACCATCGCTGAAGTTCGTTCCAGCCGCCACCAGATTGATACGCCACCAACGGAGCGACCTTGTTATGAAAGGAAACTAGGTGATAATTACTATGCGAAGTATTATTTAATTAAATTATGAATAGAAAAGTAATGTTTATTAGTCCTATTTAAGAAAAACCAAATACGTGATCATATTTTCAGAAGAATGCTACGGAGTATATGTTGTAGTCCTTCAATTTTCTCGTAGAATAATCACCATTCTTTTCTGGGTTTCCCTTAAACATTGAAAATCTTCACCAAGCCGGAAATAAGGAATTTATTCATGAGACGTCACCTGATAAACCAAATAACTTACTCGTAATTATAAACAATGTGCAGCGGTTATGTTACATAAGATGCCTTGCAACCCCTAAGTCTCAACTCTCAATCTATATGCAAACTCTTTTTCACTCTTTTAGTCCCTATTGAATCTTCCTTGATAAAATGAAAATCCCTGTCGTTAATATGTCAATCTTTTTCCATCTTTGTCATAGCTAGTAGACCAGAGAGTATTTATATGGCCCCACTGCAACCTAATTCATCATAAAATCTAAAAGCTCTATATCTAAAATTTATTTTCTCAAGTTTTTTTTGGAACAATTTTCTCAAGTTTTAAACACCTCTTTGTTCTTCCTAACTTGACCAAAATATCGTTTCAAACAAGAAACTTGACCAAAATATAATCAACACAACCAACGTTAGCTACTCGATTAATTAACTATATATCATATATAATAGTTTTAATTTAGTGAAATAATGATCAAATAAATGAATCTGCATAATGAGTACTATACCTTAATTATTGGTATTGTTGCACTTTTATTGATACCTTAATTTTTAAATGAAAAAAAACTAGTATCATAATTATATGTAAATGTTTTCAACAGACAATATATATTATACAAATTTGTAGTTAAAAAATCCGACGAGAAGCTACAAATTCCATTTGTTCGGTCCATTGTACACTACTTTTATCCATGTTATCACTGCACATATGGAATCGAGACTGCTACTTAGGATTTTTAGCCGGACATTTGAATAATATTAACGAATGAAATATTTACGTATAATTATGGTACTAATTTGTTGCATTTAAGATTTAAGGTATCTGTTGGGGTATTGGGCCGAAGCCCAACACACCGGCCCAAAGCATAAGAAAGGCCCAGAGGAAGCAGTGAGCCCAACACAGTCGGGGAGGTCCAAGACATCCCGAACGGATGATACCTGAACATCATTCAGGCTGATTTATTCAGTTGAGCTAATTAATAGAGTACTGGCATCGAAACACCCACAAGGGCATCCCGCACCCCGAACGAACTACCCGACAGAAACTGGCAACCGCATTTAATGGTAAAGTATGGCGATAGCAAGTGGAGACATGGGTGCAAGGCGACAGAAAGCAACATCCAACCAAGTTCAGCCACGTCACCATCCCACCTACCCCTCTCTTAGTATAAATACCTGCATTGAATACATTGTAAAGGATTAACATTTTGATACTCAGAGCTTAGCAATAGAATTATCTCCCTTATTCTTGTATTAGATCCTACTCCGACGTACCGTTCAGGTAGTTTAGTGTAATCGCAGAATTACTCAATGCAAGTTTAGCTTCTGAGTACATTTTGAATCCACTGTTATATATTTTATACTCCTTTTAAGTTTTAACTCAAACCTACATCCTTAATATCCAAAACGCGTGTTGGGCATTCAGATCTACGAGACTAAACTTCAACAATATCAAAATGCATTAGGTACTATTTATGAATACATAAAAGCATAAAAGGAAAGTGATGAGATTTAAAATAAAAGAAAACATAAAAGCATAATGCATCAATTGTGGGAATATGTGCATATACTACGTACAAAGTAAAATTAGATTAACCAAACATTCTACCCCAACTGGTTGTGAGGTTACCGTGCCTAGTGAAAGATTTTAAGTTCGAAACCCGCTAGGCACATAAGGGTTCAAAACTCAATGGAGTAAGTTTCAGTTCTAATTACTCTAGACCCCCCAGGCCCCCTCCCCCAGGAGTAAAAAAGAAAAAAAAAATTAGATAATGTGAATCAAGTTTTTTTTATAAAAAAAAATAGATAACTTAATTCATATTAAAATCGAGAATCAGATACAAAACCGCCACGTTAAAGGCTACACTACACTGAGATGAGACATAGAGCTGGAAGATCGCTGAAATGCGACCCAACTCGCTAACCCCACAAGATGATAGACTCTACTAACAGCAATGCTGCACCTGCTACTAGAATGAATAATAAAAGTAACTAAAGAGTTCTGGGAAAAAGAGCAAAAATAAGAATAACGAGATCCAATTTTTCCAGCCACTGACAAGGAAAGTGCGGTTCGTCCAGCCCCCGCTAAAGGCCCATCATCGCTGACACAGAGGTCCCCCGTCATTGGCTTGACAGAGTCAACCACCACTTCTTCACTACTCGCAAGTTTTTCCTCATTCTTAACCATCTAACTCTTCTCATCTGCAAGGGTTTCATTAAATATGACAGGCGGTGCCATCCCTCTGGCACCGCCACCTGCCCATTTTTTGAAACTTCTTCATATGCCGCCATGCTAGCTTGGGTATCCTTTGTGATCTTCAGCATTATCACTTTGCGCTTCCAGGGCTCTTCCTCTTGGAAATCAGCTACGCCTTCTCCTTTAGGTAGCAATCCTTCCATGATATAACTGTGTGTCTCCTCAAAACCCGCATTGTTATTTTCCACAACATTCTCAATCTCTTCCTTACATGAGCTGGTTCCACTTCCACTAAGGATTCAACCGCTTGTTGCCCCGATGCACTCCTCTTCTCCTCATATAAGCACACATCCAAGCCCCATATGGCCTCTCTCTTATCCAAGATCCGGAGTGAGTATCGGATGGACAAAGACGATCAATATGTCCCAAAATTCCACAAATGAAGCAGAACTTTGAAAGACGCTCATATTTAAACTCTGCCCAAAACCAGTTACCCCCTCCTTCCTTATATGTAATCGGCGAACTATTGCTTTCTTGATATTCATGGTCACCCGAATTCGCAAGATGGATCTCCAAACACCTCCTAGCGTGCGCTCATCAACTACAATGAACGAACCAATTGTGTTTCTGATACCACATGCAACTTTTTCAGTCATAAAGCCTAGAGGTAGGTTATGTATCTGAACCCAAAAATCAGCGCTATCCAAAGCCACCTCAAGTGGTCTATCCACCTGCCCTAAACGCCTTATTACCACAAAATTTTGTTCAAAGGTCCAAGGTTCATCTCGAAGTACCCGATTGATATCCCCTTCATGGTAGAACTGTAACAGAAATTTTGAGTCGCCAATTTCATCGATCGATACACCTTTGACCGGTCTCAAACCATTGCCATGGTTGCCCGAAATGCAAAGGGACGAATAGATTTCTCTGTCACCACGCTCGCCAACGCCAAGAAACGTGGCACCGCCATCGCTTCGTCTCCTCTAACAACATCGCTGTAAAAAAACAGTCCCCTATCTTCTTCTTCCTCCATAGCCATTTCACCGAACCCCTCACAAAAATCTCCTTCAAGCACCCTTGTACACAAAGTACAACCACTAAATTCTTTAAGGAACGAATAACAATTCTCTTGCAACCCTGCACTACAATTTCCACAAAGCCTCTAAGATGACAGAGAGCAGAAATACTACGTAAATTCTTAACACACAATAGTGCAAAAAACAGAGACCCACAACGCCGCTCATAGATTCAAGCCAAAACGAATAATCCTTCTCGTGTAAGCAATCAAATAGAAGAAAAATACCAAACCCGTTCACCAGGAACGTAAGACAAACCTCGACAAAACAAACAAGGCTGCCGGACTACACCAATCGAAAAGCCAACGGACTGGAAATCAAAGAGAACAAACGAACCGAACACCCGACCAAACTTTGGCCAGGTAGAGAGTGAAGCAGCGACGATGTAACACCGCCCCCAAGTATTTGTACTTTACCGAATTATGTATTGAACTCTGGGCAATGAATAAATGCATTTTTCGTAAATGTAAATGTTTATCATTTCTTTTACGTGAATAGTAAAATTCACGTGGGGCCCACACCAGAAGTGGGGGCCGCCCGATATTATCGGGACCACATATTATATTCATTTGGGTCAAGATAATATGTGTATAATGGTGGACATCCTTGTTGGGCCATAGAAGTTATGTGAGTAACCTTTTGGGCAAATAAAGCCCATTTATCGGTACCGGTGTACTGACAGATAAAAGCCATAATAAATTATGGAGACCGCTAAATTAAAAGTTGGGGGATGTACACTCATTCTTACATCCAATAATAATTGGAAGAATGATAGATATTTCATTTTACCCGATAAAATGAAACATAGTTAAAACAGTCCGGAAAATACAACTTTCGGGACCGAGTGTACACTCGGGGACACAAAGGGATGACCACCCATCTAAGTGGGGGCCATCCCCACGTTTTAGTCTTGCAAATGTCCATGGGAGCCGCACAAGGACATGGAGAAACAAGGAGGAAAATTGATTGAGAGCTCAATCAATTGGAAGGTGGGACCCTTGCCATAGTATTATTGTGAGAGATGCCAAAATGGCATTCTCAATCACACCAACTAATCCCATTCGTATCCAGCATCAACCAAGTGAGAGAAGCTCATCAAAATCTCCATTTTCATCCACCATATTCGAACCAAAGCTTAAGGAGAAGAAGGAGGGGAAAGAAAAGAGAAAGGAGGAGGAAAACTTGAGGATTAACAAGGTAATAACTCCATTAATCTCATCCCTCTTCATTAACCTTCCAATATGATTATATGATCATATTTCACACCCCTAGGACCATTCTACATGTTATATGGGAAGAATGAAGGGTTGGAAGGTTGGTTCATATCCAAAACGGATTTAGAGAACAAAGTTGACCGGTTCGTCGGAAAATAACCTTTTAGAGGTTATTTGTGTTGATATGGGTTTTATGATGATAAAACCTTGTTGTTAACTTGTATAAGGTACTTCAAGGACTTTCACGGAGTTGAAAGGGTCGCCGGAGTGTCGCCGGAGTTCGTTGAAGTTCACCGGAGTTTCACCGGAGCTCAATAAGAAAGGCTAGAACTTCATAAGCTTCTTTTGAGGTGAGAAGACGGCTATATGCTTTATAACTCTTGCGTTAGGCATGGGATTACCTAAATTAATCAAGAATATGTTTTATGAATTGATTAATGGTATTAAAGCATGTGTTATGTTATGTTAAGAACTATAACAAGGTTGAAAGGCATGAAATGTACGTTTGGCTAGTGAAATGGTTATAAATTGAGATGTATAATGTTACAAGGACCAAAACAAGCATTTTTTGGATCAAGGACTTCAAGTAGTACATGCATGTAAAATTTCACGTTAATCGGACTCCGTTTGGGCGGTCAAACGGGCGTTGACCGCCAAGTCAACTACAATACCCGACCGGGTATTGGCAAATACCCGACCGGGTATTTTGTTGAAAATCTGCCCCAGGGGCTGCTGTCTCCTATACTCGATCGAGTATGGATAGGTACTCGATCGAGTATGCATGGAAAATCAGCCTTACGGGCTGCTGCCTCCTGTACTCGACCGAGTATAGGTGGGTACTCGATCGAGTATTGGGTTATACTCAAAACGGGTAGTTTTTGAGTAGGTTAACGTGGACCGATCAGGTGGGACCCGTGCACGTTGGTTACTAAGGATTATTATATGACTATAGGACTAGGTATTGTCCATAGTTAAGTGAATGCAAGGTTAGCCATATCCAGGTTAGGGTTTGGTTAGGAATAAGGATGAGGTTGAGTACCCTCGGGACGGTAAATGATCCCAAAACTCGGTGAGGTTGAGTATCCTCGGGACGGTAAACAATCCCAGAAACTCGGTGAGGTTGAGCATCCTCGGGACGGTAAACAATCCCAAGAACTCGGTGAGGTTGAGTATCCTCGGGACGGTAAACAATCCCAGAAACTCGGTGAGGTTGAGTATCCTCGGGACGGTAAACAATCCCAGAAACTCGGTGAGGTTGAGTATCCTCGGGACGGTAAACAATCCCAGAAACTCGGTGGGGTTGAGCATCCCCGGGAGGGTAAACACTCCTGAAACTCGGTAGGATATTATGAAGGTAGAATGTAGCCGTGAGCTAGTCATTCAGGAATGAATGGGAAAGGTTGGGTAATCGCCATACCTCTAAAAGACTCTTTGTGATAAAACGACCTACGGGTCAAGTATTTTACAAGTATATACAGTATGTATTATCTTGGGAATGGGGTAACAATGGTTACACCTATAAGCATATGTATCACCCTATTTTTAGGTCTCGTGTCTGAAACATTAGTTATTCCTCATATAGCCTGCTTGTCACTAGTACTTCTATGGAGTACTGACCCCTTCGGGGGCCCTCACATTTTTCAGGTTAAGGCTTGAGACCAAATCCTGCACCTTTGCCCAGGGTGATCATCAATAAGGAAGACGTGGTTCGTGCTTCCATTCTCATTTAAAACAATGTAATTGCTCATGGATATTTGAACAAGGTTTTCAGTCAAACTATTAAAGGGTCTGCGTGCCCGTATTTGCCACGTGTGGCTAAGTATCAAACATACTATTTCCGCAATTGTTTGATTATGATATTGATGTTGATTGTATGTGTTTACTAATCGGTTTGGCAATAAAATCTATCGGACGCCTTGTATGATTTAATAAGAATGAACTACGTTGTTCTTATTGGATTGTACGGCGGTTGTCTACGTGGCACGGACGCGGTCCGGGGCGTGACAATTAAATGGTATCAGAGCCATCGATTTCTAAACTATATAATTAACCTCTCAATATAGTATCATTAAAAAGTTTTGAACAAAACCATGAGCAAAAGTTTTTGTACTTAAGGAACCGTTGGAAACCAAGTTATTGACCTCTTATTGTTAAGACGGTACCCTTAACAGTTTGTTGGCCATAACGTTGGACCAAGTGGTGTCTTTTGTACTATTCCGTCAATTGACATTGATACGAGTCTAACGGCTCATTCCAAATTTCTTTCAGAAATGGAGGGTAGAGGCATGGCTACGAGGAACAACCCGAGAGGGCAAACTCCGGTGACGTCCGAAGGGGCTAGCCAGGTTGCATCTCGGGGCGCGAGAGGCGGTAGGAGAGGCCGTGGAGGCCGTGGAGGCCGTGGAGGCCGGGGAGGCCGTCGGGCTCAAACCGTGAGCGATGGCCATGTTAGCTCGGTGCATGAAACCAACACCGAGGACTATGACTCAACGTATGTTCCCGAAACGGAACATGAGGAGACCCCATACGATGGGGGTGATACGTACACTGATGATGACAATGACGAGAGTGATGCCAAATTCGCCCAGATGGGTGAATTGCTTGAGTGGTATCAAAAGGAAAAGCTGAGGAGAGATCTTAGGCGCCAAGCTAGGCGTGCTTCTCAGGGAGGCTCGGGTCAGGGAAGTCGGGGAGCTTCAGTGGCCATTCCTGTGGCGACACAGGGGGTACAAGGAGGAGGTTTCTGTGTAAGAATCTCCAAATACCTCAAGGAGGCAAGGGCCTTGGGGTGTAAGTCATTCGATGGCAAGGGTGACATATCTGTGGCTGCCGATTGGATCAAAAAACTGAACGAGGCTGCTAGGGATATGCAGATCGGGCTTGATATTAAGCTAACGATTGCTACCCAGGCTACTAGAAGGGGTAGCTGCTGTATGGTGGGAAGGAGTGGAAGGAAAGTTCCACGGTGAGACCACCTGGGAGAGATTCGAAGTAGAGTTCTATAACCAGTACTACTCGGAATTTGAGAAGAATCAGAAGAGAAAGGAGTACATGACCTTGACACAGGAGGATGGGTGCTCGGTAAGGCAATTGGAACAGAGGTTCCGGGACTTGGCACGATACATACCTGAGTACGCCATGGATGAGAACCGCATGGCTAATCACTTTTGGGATACCCTACAGTTGGATATCCGTGATAGGGCCACCTACAATCATCACATGACCTTTAGTGAGATTGTGGATCAGGGGCTACTTGGGGAAGCCAAGTGGAACGAAAGGAAGAAGAGAGACGCCGAGGAGGCGAAGAAGAGAAGATGGGGAAATTCTGGGCCCCAAGACCATTCTCGGAAACATCACGCTGGGAATGGAAGTTCATTTAGGGCGCCGGAACCACCGGCGAAGAAGAGCAAGGGTCCAGGAGGGCAAGGGCACAGCTCGGGGAGCGTGAGGCCACCAAGGTGTCTAAACTGTAACAAGAATCATGCCGGGAAATGCAATGCACCACCCCGGTGCTACAAGTGCGGTAGCACTAGTCACCTCAAGTTTTCTTGCCCAATGTTGAATGGAGGAGGACCATCGGGAGTCCCTGAAGGACCTACGTCTAACAGGGGGCGTACAGGGTCATCTCAAGGCGGCACGGGAAGGGGCGGACCCACGG